AAAAGGTGTGTGTGTGTGTGTGTGTGTGTGTATGTGTGTGTGTGTGTGTGTGTGTGTGTGTGTGTCTCCATATTTTTAAAATAGCTTTCTTTGTATATGTTACATTTTTGTTTTCTAAAATCAAAATAAATTTAATTTAGGTGTATTGTCAGAACATGGTCCTAGAAAGGAGTCATTTGAGGGGAATTCTGAATGTTTTTCTTAACATTGCAATAAAGCAGGACAATAATCTTGTAACCTCAGATTCTTCAAACCATGGGATTGTTCTTGGAATATGGGTTTATGTTCCTCCCAGGTATAGCAGAGAAGTGAGTTGACTTCAGATTACTTCGTATTGATGCTGCTGTTATTCAATTAAATGTGTGAACTATCCTTTAGATGACTGTATGGGAAAACATGTTTTTGTCCCATACAATGTATACAGCTTGAACTCATGAGAACTCCACTCATGTGTCCTTTCTTAACCCACAAAGTATAAATTGTCTGAGGCACTGAATAAAGTTGACTATTGTCTGATACTTTAGTCCTCCTCATTTATTGACTCTATTCTGCCAGGGGCCATTACCCCTAGAGTGGTGAAAAGTAGCACTTGAACAGAAACCGGAAGTCAGCTACAAGTTAAGAGATTGATGACCCTCAGAGAAGGAGGTGAGTGAGAATGATGGTACAGAAACAAGGGAAGGCTTTGGCTTGTGTTGAGCTACTTCTTTTTTTGTTTTTTGTTTTTTTTTTTAAGTAAGGAGGAGTACTGTATTAAAATTACAAATATTATATTCCTTGTAAATTGAATATTAGATGAAGTATGGAACAGAGCCCAAAACTATTGAAAGGGCATATATACAAGGAAACATTCCCTGTTCAATTTTAAGTCCTTTGGTTATTAACAAAGTTGTTATCACACTAACTAAGGAAGATAATAAGGATATTAATCATGAAGGAGTGATAGCAAATTCCTTGAATGAATATAAACTTTATGATCCAACTTTAAAATTGGTAAAAGAGGCAAAAAGGTGATTTGCCTTGTTAAGGCAAAATCAAAAGTTAAAATAGCATCACCTATATGTATACTGAGAACAGCTCATTCAGCTCTCTCACCATATCCTCCTTTACATACATATCCTCCATTTTCCAAAAATGACCCTGAGGCATTGGGTAAGTAATTTACTAATAAATCTAATCTTGAATTGTCTCCACTTTTATGAAGACTTAGGAGAGCCTATGAAAATGTTGACTTCATTTATAAATTCCTTCTGGGCTTCATGAGGTATGATTGACATTTCTAGTGCAACTTCAGTGAAATCAAAATGTTTCACAGCTAATTATGCACTAATCAATCCATTTAAATCACTAGAAGGAGAGATGGCATTGGACTGACCTCACATATTATCTTGAGAGACAAAACATAACTACAGCAATTTGAATCCAGACCAAAAAGGCATTTGTATATCCTGTGGATCCTTTGTTTCCTTCAGAAGTACTTATTTACTACACTAAATTGTCACCTACAGATATTTTACACAAGTATAAATCTTTGGAATGGATTTATTTACAACCAGCTTTCCCTACTCTTCTTGTACAATTAGTAAATCAGGGCAGCACCTGTTACCCACAAGTATATGGATTTGATTGTTGCTGTATTATATTATCCTTAGCTACCAATCAGTATTTAAGTATGTTAAAGAACTGTATGAATTTTTATATCATTTACGATTACTATGGCAAGATAGGGAGTTTCTCATATGACCTGAATTTGTGATTACAAAAATTGTCCAATCTTTTTTTTTTTTTTTTTTTTTAAGAGTTGCTGTGGTCATGGTGTCTCTTTATAG